GACGGATACGTCGTACGTAACCCTAAAACAAGCTCGACACATTTGCCAAACAAAACAAGAGAGGACCTGAGGAGAAGAAAATGCTTGTGTGTGAAGCTACCTGTGTTCAATGGCGGAAATGGACTAACATAGTGAGAGCATTCTTCCCTAGGGAGTCCAACCTTGCAGCAGTTAGCGAAACTTCAACGGGACAGCCATTACAGCTTGCGAGGGAAACTAGAGGTGGTAATATAGGCAGTATCCTTTTTACTCATGTAGAGACGTAGGAAAAACTCTAGAATCATGTATTCTACCAACAAAAATCAGAAATCTCTCAAGATGAGGCCTATGACCCCAGATGTCGATTTCATCGAAGATATTACATTACAAACTGGTACACGGTGAAAATCTAGTACAGCTTGGTCTTTCTTCACCTAAAAATAGCAGTCTGATTTTTGTCGTTTGCAAGCTATTTTGCATCTCGAAAGATACGAATATACAGCTACTAAATCCAGAGTTTGATGACATCGCAGCTCATCTACCCTTAAAAGCATAATCACAACCGTTAGCGAGCTTTAACAACTATTGCCCAGCAGGTTCACCAGTTCACGGTGTTAATCAGGCTTTACCAACGACCTCTCACGCGGATCAAAGCACTACTTAGCGATTCTGACTCTGCGGCATTTACCATTTTATATGTGTAATTTTATATGAAGGCCTATGTAGCGCAATGGTTGTGCCTACAGCACACATGCAAGCGCTGGTTCGATCGCAAGGCTCAAACTAACCAATCCTTTAATCTCTCCGGGATCGATAAATTGGTACTTGTTTGAGAACATTGCAGTGCGGAATTGATGCATCTGCAGGCTATTGCATATCACTGCATAAGGCGGATATGCATTCAATCTTATTTTCTTGAACGATTTTCGGCTTATGGTCGAATCGACTCCCTGCACGAAGGATGAAGTGGTCAAATCGAGTACCCGGGTGCCAGTGAGGTGTCAAAGGGGCACCACTTTTTGTTCATAAGAATATGATTGATCTCCGCATGGTCCATCCATTTGGAAGATTCCCATGTCTATCCGCGATTTTCTGTTTTCTTGAAAAATGAATCCCCATGGAACAGACGTGCCACGGATAGCAGTCCTACAAGCTGTTTGCACTCTCATTTCGTTCGCTTTCTCACAAATTCTGAAACCTGCGTTCATTTCGTTCGTAGCTCTTAATATGGCATTGAAGTCTCCAATAACGTATTTATAGAATTTCTCGTACCAATTATATCCTCCACATGGTGCAGAATGAGTCCACTATCCTTCAATACAAGTTGGTGAGTGGTAGATGTTGACGCTGACTTTTTTTGACGCGGAAGTTGAGGTGAAGAATGGCCAAGCGCAGTGACAGGATTTCGTATGAGGTAACTAGCTGAGAAGCATGTAGGTGCAGGACAAAGTTAACACCTTCGACATTTCCTTACGAGAAACTTCCCGACACGAATGACAAGGTTTTCGCCATCTAATTGGCGTATATTGCCTCAATAAGAGCGCAAAGGTAGACGTTTGAAGAGACTGTTCTGGTGTTACAGGTGCTGGGCAAAAGCAGTCTCTATGATGTGTCGCGGGTGCATCCGTTTTGTCCGTATCCAATGACGTCCTTTGCAACTTGGGATTTAATCAACGCTATCTCATTTGGAGTTCTGAGGCTGCTGATTTGCTGGTTTAGCTAATATGGTCCTCTGAACTCAGCCTAGTCGAAGCCTTCTTCAAGTGGCCACCACCTCAGGCAGGTGCCTGCCCTTGTAGACCACAGGGTGATCAGCCAACATGTGACTAGTTTGATACCAGGACAGTGGTGATTCCTGGTATTGGTTTAGACTTAGCTGGCCTTCCTGATGGAAATGTCGGTCTCTTTCTCAGTTAGCGAGACCTAGCTGAAGGATGAGCCCCTCAGTTTACATCGCAGTGCGACACCCAGGAACACATCCCAGTCACGATGATGGGGCAAATCTTTGGGTAGGACTTCTCCCTAAATGAATTAAAGTGGTTTCTATCTAAGTCAGCACAGACCAGGAGGTTGTGGTGCGGTGGGCATGGTGGTAACATAACTGATAGTTGGGCTGATATATTGAATTTCAGATCGAAGAAATTAACGAACGAAGCGACGAAGGAACATTCCAACAATCGCTCAATGGTGGTTCAATGTCATCAAGATACAAAGCCACACTGTGGTCACATTTATAAGCAGATCCAACGATTCAGTAGATATCAGTCTAGCTTGTGTGAAGCCCAGCTGAGTGCCAAATAAATAGGTTGCGCTTCTGGAACAAGTTTGATACCAAATGATTGACTGAAACATCTGTATTGCCGAGTGTTTCTCCAAATAATCGACTGAATCAAATGTACTGCCCACTATGCTCGGTAGCTTCATCAAGAGAAGCGAATTCTGTCACATTTTTTGTTTAAGGTGAGCCAAGCAATGCAAACAGAGAGCTCACTGTACTCTGTCGTGGGAATGCTGGGTGTATTCACAGGTAAGTTATGGGAATTTCTTGGAGTAGAAGTGTAGCTTACATGCCGTAGACGACCACAAATCGTCTCCGCTAGGTATCCCATCCACTTGCAAGCTATTTCTGAAATGAGCTCCAGAATTCTGTGCATGTAGGCACACCCATACGTATGAACGCACACGACTACGTGTACAGCGTAAAAGCCTTTGACCTCGACCCATCCCTGAAAGATGCACCAAGCACTCGACTTCATTCAGTATCGTTTGAGTTGACTGAATGTATATTTGGCCTTTACAAAGACTCGCGGTGGCCTACAGATGTAACGAGCCAGCGTTGATGTCTTCTCCGAAGTCCGATACCAATTTGTCGACCCCGAAGAGGATGGGAGGCTTGGTGAGCCTTGGGCGCTAGGATCGATCACATGTGTTGCAGGTAGTCTCCGACCACTGCGCTACAGGTGTCCTTCATCCTCTCAGACAAGTATACACCTGAACCCCAGAATCTGGAAAGACGGACAACTAAGTGAGTCCACAGCACAAGAATAAACCAGCCATCTATCTCATCCGTATTGTAGAGCACTTGTTACCACAAAACACGGGTCTGAGAATAACTCAGACGTAACCTCCGATGGGCTCAATTCCCTTCAACTGAGATAGATCTGTAAAATGTACAACTAACGATTGCTAAAAGGTATGTTAGACCGAGATTGGATCCGAAGCATACGGGGACGTCTTAGCGCTACGTTTTACGCGATAACGCTCAACACTGTGGGAATAGCTCAAAACTAATTGCAACAGCACGTTAACCATTTATTCACTTAAAAAATACTAGTACTAAAGTATAATTACATAACAGCACATTAAAATGGAAGGCGTACAAGTGTACCCGACGACCGGCTCAGCAACAAAAACGCTTCTCGATAACTCACTTTAAACTACCTTTGAAATAAGGGTAAATATGTTCCGTGAAAAAAGACTTGTACTGACATCAACACCACAGCAAATTTATCTCCGGCAAAAATATTCATTCTAGTAAAGTATAGAAATAACGGGTATAACCTGACAATACTTTATGGAAACAAAATTAATAAGAAATACATAAATAAGCGAACTACTACGAATTAAAAGATGCTTCAGTATTTTGAACAAACCAAGGTAGATTAATGATAAACTAACGGATCAAGGTGAAATTAGTTACATAAACTCTTAATAATCAAAGTAACTAATTCTACTATAGATGAACTACAAAAATAAAAAGTAATCTAAAACAGGCAAACAGATATAGGAAACCATCGGATATCGCTCTTAAAAAGTGCCCTAGAGCGAAAAGTAGAAACCCTAATTGCACTGCTGACACAAGGGACCAACTTTCGAACATCAAAGTAGCTTCAAACCGCCCGTGACCGCATCAACTTGCTCAACAGTGCCAAACACACCCAAAACAGTGCGTGAACCAGGTGGAACCTGGGTGTATCCCGCATCTTGTACTAGATAATAGAAACACCCCTGAAAAAAAAAACTTAAGCCAAAATACTTACAAATACAACGTTGCTGAGATATTTGCAAAACTCTGGACCGCAGGTGTACTATGGTGGGGAACGAACGCGCTATTATCCTTTCCGGGGAGTAACGCGTTCACCACCACACCATGCGGGTCCTTTGTTTCGCACGTCTCTCAGCTATTTCTATCGATCTTTTTGCCACAGCAATCACCCGTCAGCGGGGTTGATCTGGGGAGCGCAAATCGGCATAGAACCCAGTTAAGCTATGGCTGTAGTTGAAATCACAATGTTTAACGTTTTGTTTTCTGCCTTCTATAATTTTCATGGCAGGTTACTAAGCGAAATACAACCACAACGTTGCTGAGATCAACCCCGCTGACGGGTGATTGCTGTGGCAAAAAGATCGATAGAAATAGCTGAGAGACGTGCGAAACAAAGGACCCGCATGGTGTGGTGGTGAACGCGTTACTCCCCGGAAAGGATAATAGCGCGTTCGTTCCCCACCATAGACACCTGCGGTCCAGAGTTTTGCAAATATCTCAGCAACGTTGTGGTTGTATTTCGCTTAGTAACCTGCCATGAAAATTATAGAAGGAAGAAAACAAAACGTTAAACATACTTACAAATACTTGAATAGACTTACAATTTATATTTCATAATTCATCTACTTCGAAGAAGTGTCCATTGCTGGCACCTCTCAAGTGACATAATATAAAGTCAAAACACTTTGACGGCCGTCTTCACTCGTTGTGAGGATCGCAGCACAACTTTGCCACTTTTTCGGAGTCTTGATGGTTTAGGTATTGTGGTTCCCTCGATTCCCGAGGTCAGCCATGCCTAAATCGGTGGTGGATCCTGGTACTGGCTTACTTTTAGCTGGGATTCCCTGTCATCCAAACGGCGGAAAAAGGGAACGATTAAGTGGCAACAGTTTGAGGGTATGATTCAAGTAAGCTACAGCACCCTACTTTTGAACAGTCAAAATATAACTGATGCAAGCCATGAAAGCAGATGGTTCTAAAGACAGTAACCTGGACAAATTATTAAACTACTAACCCCATCTTTTGCAGCTTTACACATATCCATCAACTGTTCAGTGTTATTTCCGCGAACTACGATTTTCACCTGTCCATGTCGCGTCCATGCTTCGATAGCATCACGACCAACCTCAGAGTTCATCGCCTAAAGAGAATATAGAATTGTATAAAATAGCTCATTGAATTGGTGCACAAAAACTGTTGTAAAAAGTTCTTCTTTCGAACTGCTCAATAACTACTCGTTCCGACTACGTTCAGCTACTCTGAAGGGGAAGCAGTGCTGCGCAAATATTCTTTCTGCTTTCTACTTGGATATTTCGATGCTTGGATGGACGGTCTTCACAGGTTGTGTGGGCTCCAGCATAACCTCCACTTTTTCGATGTTTTGCTGGTTTAAGCATTGTGGTTCTCTAGAGTCCTGAGGTCACCAAGACCAAAGTCTGCCCTAGGTCGTCGCCACCACAAGCAGTCACCGCCTTTTTGGATCAGTGGGAAATTTGCCACCACGCAATTAGCTTGGTATCAGGACGCAGTGGGGGACCCCTTATTGATTTATTCTTAGCTCGGTTTCGCCAGACTCCTTCTCAGCCAAATTTCCATAAGTTAAGTAGCTAAATACTGTCTTTCAACGATGCTGAGATATCTGCAAAACTCCGGACCGCAGGTGTCTGCGGTGAGGAACGAACGCGCTATTGTCTTTTCCGGGGAGTAACGCGTTCACCACACCATGCAGAGTCCTTCGTTTCGCCTCTCTCTCAGCTAGTTCCATCGATCTTCTGCCATCAGCAATCTCCCATCAATGGGATTGCTCAGAGACAGGCGAAACGAGGGACCTGCATGGTGTGGTGGTGAACGCTACTCCTCGGAAAGGACAATAGCGCGTTCGTTCCCCACCTTAGACACCTGCGGTCCTGAGCTTTGCAAATATCTCAGCATCGTTGAAAGTTATATTTCGCAATATTCCCTGCCGTTAAAAAGAATAGGCAGTAAATAATAAGTTAAAATTGTGATTATAAATACTAAGCCCTTTGCGTGACAGAACAGAGGAACTAGAAACCATGCTAACACATAAGCAAAAGATAACTATGGATCCAGTGGAAAACGGACAACGAATTTGTGTATGGAAACTAAGAAACCTGGAAAACGAACACTTGCGAAAACACCAGATCGAGTTTTAGATGGATAAATGACCTTTTAATAGAACCTGAAATTTTCCAACTGCACCTCTACAAGCATCCTGTTATCGTATGAAGTTTAATGCTGAAAATGATAAAACCTCAATAGTTTACCTGTCGATATACACCGAGTGTGGCATGCCCAACCTGAGCTGCGAGCTTTCCAGTACCCATTTTGAGACTCATATTTGCAACCAAAACCATTTTATGCGTACGACCTCCTTAAAATAATAAACGTTCATGATGAAGGATGTAACTTCGAATGTTCTTACACAGTTAACAAGCAAAATTAAGTCGGAAGACAAGACCTAAAGATGAACCTGTACATGAATTTTTACGGAATTGTCATGTCTTATGACTGAATTAAGGCCAAATCTTTTTAACAAAACTGGGACAACGGACTTTAAACTATGACCGGTTCACCGAAATGTCGTAAGTATTACCACTTACTAAGGGAGAACACTTGTGGAAAAGCACCAAGCAGGCTCGAAGACTGAACACCATTCTCACCTGTTGAACTAGTGGCTGAAATAAGTAAGCTGATGAAATGGGCCGCTCAAAATGCTGTAAAATCATTTTGTGACTCGAAAACAACCAAAATATTAACTCTGCATAAATTTCGCAATAGTAACGTCGAGCCAACTTCGAAGAATATTGCTGTGCCGACGAGAATTATTTCTAACCCTCAAGTTTCACACCGTCACTTCGAATAGTAGTTCAAGATTACGATTATATAGAAATATACGTATACATATTGGACCCAATTTCCCCTACTGATTTACATAAAGAGGCAATAGCATGAACTAAAAAAACCATAAATTTCAAGTTGTCCTAAAAAAACAACGCATAAACAAACCTCCCATCTCTACGTCCTCTCCTCCGCTGCTCGAAGAATTATCTTCAAAATCACTTGGATTCGAACGTTCGATAATCCAATTTACGGCCTGAAGACGTTAGTTCCACTTCAGCAGAGAATTTTTTGTACAAAATTACGAACATAAAATGACGGAGCCCATGAATGTGAACCACTTCTAATAACGCCAATAATGACATACAGTAATATAACACAATGATGTGAATAATATCCACGACACCTCCCAACGGTTTACCGCCTCATCTTGGCTGAGAAGTGTTCCTAGGTGACGGGATACGATGTACAGCCGAGGTATTCATTGCCCCAGTGTGAAAACGGGCCATCCAAGCGTCCAAGTAATATCCCCAATCAAGTGTCGAGATTAAAACGCTAAACCCTGAACACTAACCGGTCTTTACAGTGAATGTTAATGCATACCTCTTCAACTCCTATGTTAGCAGTTCGAATGAGAGCGAGGCGAGCGGTGAAGTCGTCAAAACCTAGGTCTAGTAACTGCGCGTACAGCTCGCTGTTGACCTGGAGAATTATTTACAGCTTAAGAAAATATTTGGTTGGCGAAACACTTACTCTTTTGAGAGTAATCGTTAAATGGCAATATTTCGCCTGAAATTGCACGCGATGGTAACTAGCTCAATATTTTTAAACTAAAAAAAACAAATCGTCTGCTAAGTTGACGTCGTGTTCGTTGCCAAAACCGAACATGCAGAACTGTCAAGCAAGCGGATGTCCAAAGTATTGAAAAAAAATCGGGATTGCCATTCACATATGAATTTAGACATGCACTATGTCATTTTAATGGTGCCGAGATACTTGCAAAACTCCGGACCACAGGTGCCTGCGGTGGAGAACGAACGCGGTATTACCCTTCCGCCGGGCTATCGCACTCATCATCATACCATGCGTAGCCTTAGCTTCGCTTTTCTCTCATATAGTTTTCTATCTACCGATGCCACCAGCAATCATCCGTCAACTGCTCTGATCTAGGAGCACAAATCGTGTAAATCGTAGTACGCAGCAAATAAAACGTTAACACTATGTCATTTTACTTATTTGTCTATTTATGTAATCGTACACCACGTGGATCAAAACACTCCTCTCGCTCGGTTCGCTGTCTCGTTTCCCTCCATAATGAAAGTTTTAGCGCCTAACTAGGGCTGCAGATTGAGCTCTTCGTCTTCATAAATGTGGAATCCTTGGGTACCTGGACCAAGGAATTTTCAAGTCTCCAACACAGAATGTCGCCCACTTTCGTGGACAGCCTTCTCCAGACACCGTCCTTCAAAATCTGGGCACCCGTTAAATTTCTTGTTGATCAGAAGTGTGGCTTAACCAGCAACACCCTAATGTTGGTAACAATACACATTTTCCACAACAATACTTTACTGAAGTGTTATATGCAACGTTTCCCAAACGTTTCCTTTTCAATTTTCTTTCAATTTTTAATTCAAGGTCGTCAAAAAATGAAAGTGATTCTTTAACACATACACAGTAGCCGCAGCTACACACAATTATACTGTCTAACACTACACAATGATGTCATCATCATTCATTCATCTCTAGACGGTTGCCCTAGAAACTTGAAAGATTTCTAACAGGTTAAGTGTTCATACATCGAGATCTCTTTGGCCAACTAACTGGAACACTACATAGCATATTCACAAATAGCAGAGCTGGATGTCAGTACACACCGAATGGAACTACAATGTTCAGACAAAGTGGATTAAAGAATGAAATCCGTCTCACCGATGTGCACAATTCACTTCTTTCTAAATATAATCCTGCTAAGACAATCAATGAAGAGCACGACTGTTGTGTTCATGAGGAGTGAGCACCTCGTCTCATCAAGAAAATTCCGCAGTGTTTCTCAAATCTGACCGGCCCGAAACAGATCAATACGTCACCCGTGTGTATATTCAGTTTCCTCACGAGCGAGGACAACAAAAACTACACTATGAACGTATGATGCTCTTGGTATCTCTTCAACGAGAGGAGCTCACTAACTGTATTCGCAGCTCGCTCGATACAGTGGATGCTGATACTATAGGAATTTTTTTTTACTATCATGAGCAAATTAAACTGTATAGAATCCACATTCCTGTCCTCGTGAAAAGATACATATTTCGAGAGTTAGAAAACGATAAAGCTCTCGGCGCTCATCAATCCCTGAGGGATGCGTCATGCATTCGACTTCATTAAGCATCGTTGAAGGTGAACGAATGCACATCTAGCGTTTATAATGACTGACGTTGGTCTACCGATGTATCGACCCAGTAATACCACCCTCGCAGACAAGTCTTGTACTAATTTGCCGACCTCTGGTGATGGAAGACCTGCTGAGCCTGGAGCACGGAGATCCATCCCAACTGTATTGCAGGGCACTTCCGACTACTGCGCTACACGCCCCACCTAACTTTTGAGAGTTAGAAAAGAAAAATATGAAAGAACTTGAAACATGCTTAATAGAATAAGAAACCACACAAGACATCGCCAGAAGTAGGCTGCTACGACAGTCCTTATAACTAGTGTAATTTGATACTTAGTGGAGAATGTATTAGTGACCCCGTAATATTAAACCTTAAATTAAACCAATTTAAACAAAAGAGACTGGCTAAAAATAGATAAACCAAACACAGGCACTAGTTCAAATTTTTGCACATTCGCAAACATGGTTCGTTGGATTGCATTTCTAGTCGTTTTTTTGTCGGATATACTTCCTTCGCACTACCTTTTACATGAAAAATTATGGCCCGAAGATTTGATTAGCTGAACACCTTATCAGCTTATAGAAGAGTTTGCCTATATATATATATATATATATATATGTACATATATATACGTACGTACATATATATATATATATAATGAATTTATCTATATATACATGGAAATTGACGTGGTTATTTAGAACTACAACTTAATTTTTAAAGGTGTTCAGACCTAAGATTTTCATAAGGGAAACAAAGGTGAAATCCAAATGTGCAAATTTCTTTAAACGAGACCTCAGTGATTACAAATACAATGCATTTAAGGACATAATAGAACTGTTATAAACGAAACAGCGTTCGTCCAATCGTTTTATTTTCGAAATATGAGCGTCACCGAAAAAAAATCACACATAAAGTACGTCTGGTGTGTTCCAGAAAAACCAGGAGATTTGATTCCGTTATAAGTTTGTTAAAACGCGTTTGTACAATAAAACTCTACTATTTTTAAAAAACTAGAAAATTTCGGTGAATAGCGGAAGCCTACTAAACAAGTGCAATTTAAAGAGGTAAACATACGGGTCCTGAATTCTGCGACTGTGCTTGAGGATCAATAGGATGCGGTAGCTCCGGAACGTTATTTGTTTCACTACCCTGTAACTCCCCTTGACTGCAAAGCGGCGGCGGAACAGGAACCTTAAGAAATAATGAAGAATGACATATTTGGTTAAGCTCCAACAATTAGCAACGAAATTAGTCTTACCTCCGGTAATTCACCTAATGCGAATGGATCTGGTACCGTGGCCAGATGTACTGGATCAGGAAGACTTGGAAGGTTGTCTACAGTAACTGATGAAGGAGTCGGGGAGCCTAAGAGAACAGAAAACTGTGTGTTGTAAGGGTTACAATTTTAGCTCTAAAAATAAACAACGAAAACCATTTACTTTTACTGGTTAAATAAAGGATAAATCTCTCGGCGTTGATTAATCCCTGAGGGACCTATACATAGTAAAAAGAACCTGGGGCGCGGGCATCGATTCCATGTGTATTACAGGGCATCTCCGACCACGAGTCCACATATTTATTGGTAGTGCATAAAAATTTTCAAATCAATAAATAGTGGAAAGAAAGGATAGAAAAACCTCTTTCTGCTCGGATTGAAGCGTTGTCAGGTTCGGGAGGATTGTCACTCACGTCAAGATTAGCGTTAGAAGGCTCTCTTAAATATTTTGAAGTTAACGATCGCTTGCATACCACCGTAGCTACTAGGACTGCAAAACTACCTTGGAAGATGATCCTCTGGTATCAGCTCCGCCATCAGAGCTCTTGACGGCGCTTAGCGCGCTCTTTTTTGTTGGCTTCCTGTTGCTGAGCCCTATAAAAGGAGTCTCGTATAACGCCGTAACATGAACAAATAGCATGCACGAAACCAATCCAAACAATTTTCTGAAGAACTACATGAGCACAGTAAGAAGGTACTTATAGAAGAGAAAATAAGATATTAGTGATCAGCAAACGACTGTCTTAAGCTCAAAGGATAAAGTATAAAACTCTCGGCGTTGATCAATCCCTTAGAGATTCGCCATGCATTCGACTTTATTAAGCATCGTTTGTAGGTGATTGAATGCATATCAGGCCTTTACAATAACTCACGGTGGCCTATCGATGTATCGAGCCAGTGCTGTTGGCCTCCGAGACAAGTCTGGTACTGATTTGTCGACCCCGGGAAGATAGAAGGCTCGGTGGGTCATGGGCACGGGGTCGATTCCACGTGTGTGTTGCAGGGCGCCTTCAACCACTGCGCTACACGCATCCTACACTTATGCAACTAAATAGTGTTAAATGTAAACGATAACACACTTGATTTTCAAATATTCCGTGTTGTCCTCGGTCTCACGTGGCCCACGTATGTTTTCCCAATTTTCAGTGTCAAGATTCGCCACTTCCTACAAGGGCGTGGTTGGTTAGGTCAAGCAAAATACTACAGCAACATTGTTTTCACCTTATAGATATCTCCCGTGGTCACGTTCTTGCGAAGACGAATTCCACTTTCTTCTAAGCCACTTTTCTGAATGATATAATTCCTGACCATGGACAACAACGAAAGTAAGATTTCTACGGAGAAATCGATGACGTATTGCAATAAGAAACACAGAAAATCAATACACATCGAAAATACTGAGCAGACAGAAAAACGAACCAGAAGTTCTAGGTTGGCGTCCTGTTGCTTTAGCTTACGAAAATCGAAACGAACTTGCTGAAAGTAATGCAGACCGTACGCACCACCAAGAACGATAGAGAAAAACGGCAGTCCAACCCGAAAAAATCTTAGATTCCGACTTGACATCAACGACAAACCTAAAACTAGCACATGCCCCAAACAATACAGCGAGACGAAAAGCTGAACGAAATCGGAAACTCAACAATATCGTTGGGGGGCTCGGAGAAAAACTTGTGATTGAAAAAGGGCGTGGATTTAATTGTTTTCTCCGAAGATGCACAACCCACATCGCAGCACCTATCAAGTTTTTCTGCAGAGTGATTCTACTAGTAATTTAGACTTCACAAAGACAGATAGACTGTGTTGTCTCTTTACTGATCACTATTTCATTTGCACTTCCCTACGATTTGCCACCTCATCGTTGCTGGAAGGTGCGTCTGGGTGTCGGGCGGCGATGTACAGTGAGAGGTTTCATCCCCCATCAAGATTTCCCAAGCCGAGGAGTCCAGAGTTTCCACCAGGAAGCCCAGCTATGAGTAAACCAATACCAGGCAGGATCCACAACTGTCCTGGTATCAAACTAGTCGCATGGTGGCAAATCTCGCTCTAATTCATTAGGGTCGCGAATGCCTGTGGTGGTGACGACCTGGGGCACACTGGTTAGGCTGACCTCGGGACTCTAGGGTACCACGATGGTTAAACTAGAATTGAGACGGGCCGTCGTGCTCAAGTAAGTATTTCGTAAACAACACCTCTTAGAAGGTTTCGTGTCTGAACGATTTCAATTCCCCTAGAGCTCATCTTTCTGATGCCTAAGTTACGGCCAGTCAGAGCGTTTACAAATGGAGTTTAAGTACATGAGATAGTTTTTCTTCCACACGCTCTAAATATACCGATACTATTTGGTTCGTTTTCAAGCTAAGTTTTCAAATAGGGAAGCAGACCAACTTCTCCTGGGCCAGAAAGTGAACCAAGCTGAAAAATCACTATGTAGCCACTTCGTATTTACTGCCTACTCTTTTTCATGACAGGGCATGATGTGAAATATAACCACAGTGATGCTAAGATGTTTGCAAACCCCGAAACGCAGGTGTCTGCAGTGGCGATCGATCCTGTTATTACCCTTTCCGGGGTTGACGCGTTCACCACCACGCCATGCGGGTCCTTCATTTCGCCTTTCTCTCAACCGTGTTAGCGGCAAGAAAGTACAGAAGGCAAACTAGCTGACAGAAAGGCGGAACGATGCACCCTCATGGTATGGTGGTAAATGCGTCAGCCTCCGAAAAGGGTAATAGCGGATTCGATCCCCAATTCAAGCACCTGGTGTTCGGAGTTTTGCAGGTATTTCAGCATCATTGTGAAAATTCCTTCTTAGAAAAGACTCCTTCTGAGACGGCACGTTTTTTTTAATTTTTACATCTTTTGTCAAGGAGTATCGGATAAAACGCGGAGGGGATTGGGGGTGTGTCTAGGAAACAAGGTGCAGTTTGACCCCTGCTCCAACGCTCTCCTCCAGTCCAGATGGGAACACCCTACCCCGTCTATATCCGAGATTGCAAATATAATAAACTCGTACGACATTGTACGACATTCATAAAAAGAAGACGAAATCCTCAAGCAGCAGCTGAAACAAAATGGGAAATATTCGAAGACCGTTATGGGTGTTGCATGCGAGGAAACGAATCTAATGTAGAAATGCTGGCATCCGCACAGCAAATGTGATGACGAATCCTGTGGAAAAAAACAATGTAATGTTAGAGAATACTAAGCTGTCTCTGGTCCTCGCAAATTAGACATTGTGACTCACCAGGGACTCACAAGGTAGTTTTGCAGTCCTAGTAGCTACGGTGGTATGCAAGCGATCGTTAACTTCATAATATTTAAGAGAGCCTTCTAACGCTAATCTTGACGTGGCGTGTTCACGTTGTATATGATGTCACCTGTGATCTAGTTTTAGCTCTATCTGCCTAAGCAAACATATTACAAAGTGTTTTCTGGCCAAATCAGTCGCACAGCGTGTGTTTGATTGTGTAGCCATTTAAGTGCTTGTATTTGCGCATGTTTGCACAAACTTGTTATTTGCCAAGTGGAATTGCTCCAGCACTGGGAGTGATCCCACTCATTACGTGGACGGCCCTACCTCTGCAGCATTACTTTCGACTCCGCGTCCATTTCACTAAGGCTCCCGTCCAAGGTAGCGAAATGGGTTCTATACATGACCGCGACAAGCTGACTCCCTCTAAACCACGTGGGAACGTCCTAGCAAGGCTGTCTTAGGGTTCTACAGAGAATCGACTCGAAAAGCAGGATTACAGGAACCTAAAATTGTTCGTAATATGAGAAGATTTATCAGTTTATGTCTTAAGTGTGGGTTCTATTAGACTGTCACTGTTGGAGTTTTATTACGGCTTCAATCCTGCTTCTCTTGCTTGTTGCTCTTTCTTCTATTGCATTCAATATTATAACAAGAGACAAATATGGAAGCCTGCTGACTAAGCTGGCTTTGCCGGCAGCGCAGTATACTATACTATATAACGCAGTATAGTATACTGGCAAGACAACTCATATATGATTCAACAACTGTTCGAAGTTACCAAAAGAAATCGCTGTAGAATACGCAGGCCTCGTCCACTGGCGAAAACCTTGTGCCATCCAGAGCTAGAATTGCCTTCCGGCACTATATCTGACGTAAGAGGCAGAAATGCGGTCTCAAGGATTCAATCTCTGCTCAAGAATTGCCCACACTTAGTGAATTTTAATGCGTACATCCATAAACGAGGATCTCAGCAATGAAGTTTATCTACGATATGTGGAATGACGGCAGAAATCGCTATACCGAAAATCGATATACAGTTCTCCATTTTGCAAGAACTTAGAGGAAAAATGGAGCTATCTTGTTACCATCAGTGTTAAGGACGGAAAAAGTTTTCCCAAAAGGTTATCCATCTAAAGTAAAAGGACAATGCCATATCAGAGCCGGAGCGGTATTATGGTGGTGAAGGGGTAGTTAAAAAAGGTTATCATAGCATGCACATTTTATGTTGAGATCCTTCTTCCCAAATCGTAAAGCTGTAGGTGATTCAAGACCATAACAAGGTGGTGCTTTTCGTGGGTCATAAGCGAGCAAATATCGGCTTAACACCCACTACTTTTCCGCCGTGTCACCCAGATTGGCTTTATGATGAGATAAAAGGTGAGCGTTCAGGGAAAACCTCGCTTGATGACTTTAATCGACATTCACTTTGGAAGCCAGATGTTTCCGTACTCTTAACTCCCCATTTTCTTAACAGTTGCAGAACCAGTACGCCGTGAACAAAAGATGTTGAAGGCGTTGTAAACGTCTTACGACTACAAATACTATGCCATTTATGCTAAGCAGGTTAGTACTAGATGAAGTCGTTTTGGAAACACTGCCGCTTAGACTGTTTCAGCTCCGACCATACAAAGTGTCCGTCTTTCAATTGTAAATTTGAAGTAGAGAATTGCAAAGTTTACGTAGAATCGTCGATTATAGGAAAGAATCCTCCAAACAGTTTACCGCCTCATCGTGGCTGGAAAGTGTTCCTGAGTGCAGGGCTGCGGTGTACAGCGAGGGATTCATCCCCCCACCAGGGTCTCCCAAGCTGAAAAAGAATCGGCATTTTCATCAGGAAACCCAGCTAAGAGTAAACCAATACCAGGATCCACCACCGTCCTGGTATCAAAGTCACATGGTGGCAAATCTTCCTCTGATCCATAAGGGTTTTCATTAACGTTGTTTTTGTGAGATTTATTCGTCGGCCAGTTTTTCACAAGTGTTGCGATAATCTTCTAGCATTAATTAGGCGATATGAACGAACTAGATGGACACTGGACGAGCCCTTGAAGACGAATGACCATGGGCTGTCTGTATTACTTCTGTAGTGGGTGGAGCTTTGCCAGAGAGAACTAAAGACAGCGCCTAGAGAGAGGTTCTAAAGGTCTTTTCTACTAGCACATTCTGATAGAGCTGCATGCACTTCCAGCCAACGGTTTTACCACTTCGTCGCGGCTGGGAGGTGTTCCCAGTTGTCGGGCTGCGACGTACAGCAGGGTATTCATTTCCTGGTAGGGTCTCTCAAGCTGAGAAGGAGTCCGGCTTTTGCATTAGGAAGCCCAGCTAAAGGTAAATCAATACCAGAATCCACTGCCGTCCTGGTATCAAGTAAGTTGCATGGTCGCAAATCTTCCTCTAGTCCACAAGGGCGGCGACCGCCTGTAGTGGTGACAACGTGGGGTAAACTTTGGCCAGGTTGACTTCGGGACTTCGGGAAAACACAACGGCTAAACCAGCAAAACTCCGCAAAGTGCAGAATACTCTAGGGCCCGCACAACCAGTGAGGACGGAACCGTTCAAGTAGCCAAATAACTAAGTGTTGCGCACTTAATACCTGCGTATAATTAGCAGAGCGGTGAACGGCAGGACCTATTCAAGAGTAGCCTTCCAGTCTCCCCAGAGCAGGTATGGAGCGTACATGGGAGTCGAACCACCTCTCACATAGTTCACTATCACTTCATTGCAGCTTTTGCAAGTATATATATATATATATATATATATATATATATACGTATATGTCCACCGATCTCCCTCATATGAGGGATTTCGAGCCGGTTAGTCGCCAGGCTAGGTGGCGCGTCCACAAGTGGCGGATTTGCTAGGCGTATTCATGCATGCGTGTGTGGGTGCGTTTTTGCTTATGCGGATTGTATTCTACGAGTCAATTCGGCCAAAAGCCTGCAATCAAGTGACTCGGCAGTATATAGAAGGCAGTTAGGAATCGCCTCCAACAAATAAGCTCTATGTCCACTCTGGGAGAGCCGGGCAAGCTACCTGTGAGTATACCCAGCCCCCACGTTCAGAGCCCAGCAAGCTATACGTGGGTATCAAAATGCTAAGCACGGTAAAAGAAAAAACGGAACTCATTCCCCTGACCCCGAAAGAGTTCCCAATTTCGCAGCGTTGGGTAGGACTAGTACGGAAAGGCTGCTAAAATCTCAGGGCCAATGGAAGCTGCCTGGATCTCAAAGAACTGTCTGTACCTACAATGCACATACACTTGCATCGGAGTCCTCAATAGAAGACTTGCTCATGCAAGCAAGAGGGATAAGACACGACGTC